GTACAGGAAAAAGAGAAGAGACTCATTAATAATTTGAATTAAAGGTTTCTAGACCCTGCTCAGTAGGGATACAGGAAATTTCAACTTAATGAATTCTACTCAGCTGACACTCCTTAAGCATTCTCTCCCAAAGCAAACAACAGGATGGGTACTCTTCAAGAGTCCATGAAACATTCAGCAAGGTAGCCCATATATTCACACATTAAATAATTCTCAGTGATCATATGTAGAACCATTCACTGAACAAAACAGAATTAAAAGTTAATAGCAGAGAAAAACCTAAAAATGCACAAATATTTGGACATTATCATAATTCCAAATAGTTAGAAACAACAGCAAAAAAACACACCAGAAATAAAATATTTTGCTATTAATAAAAAATTTTAAATGTATATTAAAAAGATCTTATTTTCCCAGATGAATCAATTTGGCAACAGTCAAAAGACTCAATATTGTTAAAATATCTATTTCCTCAAAGAAATCTGTATTTTACCACAATGCATTCAAAATCCTAGCAAGTAATTCAATAGAAATGGACAAACTAATTTTAAAATACTATATATGGAATTCCAAAGTGGCCAGAGTAGCTATTAAGACATTTTAAAAAATGGAAGATTCATAATACCTAATTTCAACACCATAAAGCTACATTAAGTATTATGCTGGCTATATAACATTAGAACAGAAGATTGAGAAATACACATGCACATGTGTGTGTATGTGTGTGTGTACTGGTCAACTGAGTTTTTATGGAACTCCCAAGGCAATTAACTGAGGAAAGAATATTCATTACAATATATGGAACTGGAACAAATCTTTTTCTTAAAATCTGTAAGATGTATTTTTTCACTTTTATTTTTTATTAGTACCTTACATCAAATATAGAAGTCACTTCAAATTAGTCAGGAATCAAAACATAACAGTTCTAGAAACCTTCTTGAAGAAAACTTATGATAAAACCTTTGTGACCCTGACTTAGGCCCAAAAACTGCAAATCATAAAAGAAAAAAGTCATTACTTGAACATCATCATAGTTAAGCACAACTGCTTTCTGAAAGACACTGACAAGAGGATGAAAAGATAAGCCATAGATGCAGCAAGTTTCTATAAAACAAATACATGACAAAAGCTCCCACCCTTAAAGTATTGTATAAAGAGCTCACATAACTCAGTAAGAGAAATCAATGTTTAAAGGAGACATGAATAGCAAACACGTGAAATCTGCTCAATATCATTAGTCATTAGGGACGACTGATACAAATTTAAACTACTACATGTGCTAACACCTATGATAGCAGAGGATATTTAGAAAACTAACCAAACCAAAATGCAGAGCAAATGGAATTTTCACACATTATTGACCGGAATTATATAATGGTACAACCACTCCAAAAAACAGCACAGCAGTTTCTGAATCACACATACTTTATCATACGGTCCACAAATTAATGCTCTCCCATTATTTACCAAAAGAAATTAAAACATAAGCCTACACACAAAAGTGATTTTATTCATAATTATCAAAAACTGGAAACAACCCAAATGATCATCAATAGGGGAACAGATTTTAAAAAGGTAGTTTTCAACAGAATACCATCTATCAACAAAAAGGAATGAACTACTAATGAAAGATAAACTTCAAAAGTATTAAGCACTATGCTTAGTGAATATAGACAGAGACAAGATAGCACATGTCTTGTATTTCCATTTACATAATATTCCTGAAAATGTACAACTACAGGGGCAGAAACCATTGCCAGGGCCTGGTGGCAAAAGACATGACTGAACACAAGGAGGAACAACAGAACTTTGGGGAATGAACCGAACGTTCTATAAAGGGACGGCAATGGCTACACGATGTGTATGTATCAACACACATCAAACTGTACATTTTGAAGAGTGAATTTGTTGTTTATCAATCATAATTCAATAAACCTAACCTTAAAAAACTGCAGATTTTAAAGGTTTTCAACACACGTAGCCAAACTGTCCTTCAATTACCCTAATTTATCTTCCGACTTCCATTTAATTCACATTCCCGCTGGCATTCCCCACGTGCCTGCACCCGTCAGTCCCAGTGGGTCAGTGCCGGGTGCATGTGTCCCACTGGCTGTGTCCTTTAAGGAGCCCAGCTCACTCTTTCCCCACCTCTTTTTCTCTCCAGTGCTGGGACAGAGCCAGGCTCTGGCAGATGCGAGCCATTCAGCTACTCCCCAGCCCTCACCTAACTGTTCTGCCCCACTGTATCTTTTACTCTGTAGCAAAGTGGCCTCTCATTTGTTTCTAGGACAGTCATATTTCTTTGTTTTCTGTTCATTCCCTTTAATTATTATCTTATGAAAGTATTTGGGGCTTTTATTAATTTAGTGGTGCTAGACATTTTCAAATATTTGTTGTAACCATATTTTCAAGTTTTTGTCTGTTTTTAAATATATGAACAACTTAAATTTTTTAATCTATCCGTTCTTTAACTTTTTTTCCTTATCTTTTTTGTGGTAACTGGGTATTGAACACAGAGCTGTCACACTGAGCTACATCCCCATCTTTAAATTTTTATCATTTTTAAAAATTTCTGACACAGGATCTCACAAAGTCACTAAGTTTCCCAGGCCAGGCTCAAGTGAGAAATGCTCCTGCCTCAGCCACCAACAGTATGGGATTGCAGTCATGTGCCACCTTGACCAGTTTCTTTTGTATTTTTACTTAGAAGTTGCTGTGTCCATGCCAGAGGTCAAGGTCAGTTAAATACTCAATTATATTATTTCTTTTATTTTCTCTTTTTTCTTTTTTTTCTTTTAAAAATAAAAGGAGGAAAACATTAACAGACAGACATTTTACAAAATAGCAAAAGAACAGTACAGACAATACAAGTTACAAACAAAATGGTAGGAAATTAACAATGCTTGTTGTATTACATATTGATGTCTTCAATGTGGTTTCTCATGAAAACAGAGACATGCAATATTGATCAATCAACGACTCACTGGCAGTTTCTTTCAGCAAAGAAATAGAAGACAGTAGGTCAACTGTTAACTAACCTGTATATACATACATACAAAATTTCCTTCTTTCCCTTCTCTTTTCCCACATCCCAGTTGCCCTTTACCCTTGAGCATTTTCCCATCATTTCACAATGTCTATCATAC